ACTTCTAATGGCCTAACTTCCTAACGTCCCGACCTCTAATCTCCCAAATTCCATATTTTCCAACTCCCTAATGCCTCGACTTCTAATCTCCCTACTTCCTAATTTCTCTACTTCTAATCTCCCAACTTCCTAATTTCCCAAATGCCATATTTTCCAACTCCCTAATGCCTCAACTTCTAATGGCCCTACTTCCTAATTTCCCAACTTCCAATCTCCCAAATTCCAAATTTTCCAACTCCCTAATGTCCCAACCTGTAATCTCCCAAATTCCATATTTTCCAACTCCCTAATGCCCCAACCTCTAATCTCGCAACTTCCTAATTTCCCAAATGCTATATTTTCCAACTTCCAATCTCCCAACCTCCTAATTTCCCAACTTCCAATCTCCCAAAATCCAAATTGTTCAACCCCCACCTCCCAAATTTCCAAAACCCATCTCCCAAGCTTCCACCTCCTCCAACTCCCAAATTTTCCATCACCCAAATCTGTCTATCCCCAATCCTTTCACCCAAAAACGAGATCTCTGTATCTGACTCATTGACGCACTCCGCGTTATCTGCCAGCAATCAACGCCGCGATCAGAGATTGCAATTAAACTACTTGAGGAGATAACAAATGTTAATTATCAATCCCACTGAGCTTGTCAACTAATCAATCAACTTACTGATCATTGAATTAGACGTCGATGAATCTCCCGCGGCGATCGCCTGAATAGACCATGCCGTAATTCATAGATGAAACCAGCTTGATGGCTCCATTAAACAATAAATAAACAACGGAATAGGATAAAAGACTTGGAGGATCGAGTATAAACGTTTTTCATGCACATTTCTTGTTGTCTTGTTAATACAATCAAGTAACCGAATCAAGAAATGAAAAGATTATTCTATGATGTTAACTGCTCTGAAGATTGACGTCAACATTCACCTTGACGGGTAATGATACTGTTACTGATTACGATGTTGGCAGTGGCTTTCCTGAAAGTACCACCCTGAGATCGATCGCTGTCGCTACTGATTACGTGTTATTGTTCTTTGTAAGTTGTAGATACAGGGAGATTAGTTGGTGTACATTATGTAATTGGAGGGAGATTGGGTGATTTTGGAAGGCGGGGACGGTGCAGATGTGGAGATATGGATCTGGGGATTTGGAGATGTGGGGATATTGGAGAGAAATTAGGGATTTGGAGATTTGGGAATTTGGGGATTTGGGATTTGAGGATTTGGGGATTTGAGGAATTGGGGATTTGAGGAATTGGGGATTTGGGGATTTAGGGACTTGAGAATTTTGGGACTTGAGGGTTTGGGAATTTGAGGAATTGGGGATTTGAAGAATTAGGGATTTGGGGATTTTATGATTTGAGAATTTTGGGATTTGAGGAATTTGGGATTTTGGAGGATTTGAGGATTTGAGGATTTAGGGATTTGAGGAATTGGGAATTTGAGGAATTGGGGATTTGAAGAATTGGTGATTTGAGGAATTGGGGATTGGGAATTTGGAGATTTGTGGATTTGGGGGTTTGTGGAATTAGGGAATTGGGAGTTCGGAAATAGTGAAATTTGGGAATTGGTGGATTTGGGGATTTGTGGAATTAGAGAATTTTGGAATTAGGGGTTTGGGAATTTGGAGATTTGTGGATTTGGGGATTGGGAATTTGGGGACTTGTGGAATTAGGGAGTTGGAAATTTGGAAATAATGGAATTTGGGAATTTGTGGATTTGGAGGTTTGTGGAATTAGGGGATTGGGAATTTGGAAATTTGTGGATTTGGGGATTCGTGGAATTATAGAAATGGGAATTTGGAAATAGTGGAATTTGGGAATTTGTGAATTTGGGGGTTTGTGGAATTAGAGAATTGTAGAATTAGGGGATTGGGAATTTGGAGATTTGTGGAATTAGGAGATTTCGGAATTTGGGAATTTGAAGATTTGGACATGGAGAGAGATTTGGGAATGTAAGAATTTGGGGACTTGGAGACTTTGAAATTTAAAGATTTAGGAATTAAGAGAAATTTTGAATTTAAACACTTGGATCAATGGCAACTTTAGGGTTTGAGAATGTTGGAATTTAGTATTTTGAGATTTGTGGATTTGAAGATTTAGGAGTTGTAGACTTTGAAGCATAGGTGTTTATGGATTTAGCAATATGGGACGTAGACAATTTGATATTTGGAGATTTAACTGTTTTGATACTTGAAGATTTTTGGATTTTAGGATTTGGAGATTTAGGGACTTAGTAGCTCTAGCATTAGAGAATGTAAAAATATGAAGATTTAGGGACTTTGAGACACAAATACTTGCAGGCTTAGGAACTTAAGGGCTCTAGCATTAATGAACATAAAAATGTGAAAATTTAGAAATTTGAAGACATAAATATTTGAATATTTAAGGATTCAGTGTCTTCACAATTTGGGAATGAATTTTGAGAATTCATAGATTTGGGAACATAAGAATTCGAAAATTTAAAAACTATTAGAATTGCCTATCTAAAAATTTGTGGATCAACAAATTTCTAAATTTCAACTATTCAATAATTTGATCATTCATAAAAACCTATAAGTTCATTCAAAAACTTAAAACTTTGGTTACATTTATAACTATTTTATACATAAATAAGAATATTTATAAGCCTCTACTTAATATTAGCAGAGCCACAATTAAATTATCATTGCAATTAATAATTCCCGTGCAGCCGTCTGCAGATAATTCTCCACCTAAATATACATAGTAGATACAAGGACTAAGCAGTGAAACCCTTAGATATACCCCCATGAAAAAACCATTCGAATGAAAAATACGACTGGTGGCTAAAGCAGATAAACTCCGGAATTACATTCTCCCCCGGCAATTATTAAAAGTTCCATAAATTATCCGCGTTTAAATAAATTGCCAACATAGTGGAGTCTGAATTTTTTACGTATGCATCAGAAATAATAGTGTTGGGGCTATTAATAAAGTGGGATTACCATTGTAGAAAATTATTCATCGTTCACACGTAATCTTTCAAATCGCTACGATGCGGCTGTGCAGGATATCTGTTATAATCGATAGGCAATTGTCGATTGTGACAATGGCGCGAAGAAAAGAATACAACTTGAGTCATCCGGAGAGATTTACGTCACGTTCCGGGTAATAATACATTTTTTGATGTTTTATATGTATTTAAAATTACATTTACGGCATTCACGTGGCATTACTTCGAAATTTGCGTCATTGAACAATCAAACATACATCTTATCTTCGATAAGGAAACCTTTTAAATCTTATTATATAAGGGGTTACATCCGACACCGGTACTGTAGTCGTTTCGGTCCATAGCGAAAGGAAAGAGGTTTTTTGCAAATTCTCCGCTTCGATAAATGTAAGAACTGATAAGTTATTGTGTCTTTTAATGTCACTTGTACGATAGTTCGCCACGTGTTTTATCACCAGGTGTTTAATTTCGCACTCATGTCATACTTTGTATTTTCACGTGTTGTCACACGTTTTATTCCCACACATTATCGCGATTTAAATTTGCACGTGTTATATTGCTATGAATAAGATTACTGTAAAGTATTTATTACTACGTGTTACATTGCCACGCGTTATATCGCCATATTACATTTTTACGCATTTTATATTACCATAAATTAGATGTCAACTATTACAGAGCCTTACATTAAATTTTCATACATTTTTAATTACCTCGCGTTATATTGCCATTTGTTGTATTGCAACGCATTACATTTCTACACGTTGTATATTAATATGAATTCGACATACACGCGTTATATAGCCTTGCATTAAATTTTCATATGTTTTTCATTACCTCGCGTTATATTGCCATTCCCTATATCGCAACGCATTACATTTCTACACGTTGTATATTAATATAAATTCGACATACACGCGTCATATAGCCTTGCATTAAATTTTCATACGTTTTTCATTACCTCGCGTTATATTGCCATTCTCTATATTGTAACGTATTACGTGTCTACAGGTTGTATATTAATATAAATTCGATATCCACGCGTTATATAGCCACTCGTTAGACTTTTATACGTTTTATACTAACTCGCGTTATATTGCCATTGGTTATATCGCAACGCATTGCATTCCTACACGTTGGATATTAATATACATTCAACATACACGCATTATATAACCTTGCATTAAATTTTCATACGTTTTTAATTACCTCGCGTTATATTGCCATTCCCTATATTGTAACGTACTATATTTCTACACGTTGGATATTAATATAAATTCGACATACATGCGTTATATAGCCTTGCATTAAGCTTTCATACGTTTTTAATTACCTCGCGTTATATTGCCATTTGTTATATTGCAACGCTTTACATTTCTGCACGTTGTATATTAACTTGAATTCGACACCTACGCGTTATATAGCCATTCATTAGACCTTCATACGTTGTGTTTTACCTCGCGCTATATTGCCGCATGTTATATTGTCATACATTAAATTTTGACACATTGCATATTACCGTTAATTAAATGTGAACGTGTTATATAACCACGTGATTGACTTTCGTACTTCCTGTATAACTACGTGTTATATTGCCACACTATTAATTTTCTCAACTTGTCATCCAAAAAATTAATTTCACTCTTGTCTATCAAATAACTAAAATTCTTCCAAATTCAACGAAATAAAAAAATTCTCCGAATCTAATAAAGAAATAAAATATTAACAATTTATTTGAATACACGTATATTCGGCGATACAAGGTGATGATTTAACATTGAACACTTGTCCGTGTACCTGAATTAAGCTGACTTTGTGTCTTCACGACGTCCTTGTAAATATCGAGGCGATGTACAAAGCAGCTCGATAAAAGCAAGCCACGATTACTTTTTACTGGCGAGATAAAATAAGGGTCGGTCGGTCGAGACAATCGACCCTGATCGCCATTCGATCGAAAATGAATATTAACATCACACACCATGGACGTACGAGCACACTCACCAACCCTCTTGTTTCTCTATGTTGTAGACTAACAAGATGTCACTTTCGGAGTTCCGTAAAAAGAAGTTACTCTACGTTTTCAATACCTTCTTTGGTAAGTACATATTTTATGTAAACCTTTCCATTCTTCAAAATATATATACTGCATTTTCAAGTCTCACATATTCGCATATGACATTATTTATTCATTACTTTCGGGATAGAATTAAAAAGGGTAGAAAAATATTCTTTTCTGAACCCCTATTAAGGGATAAACGCAGACAAAAATTGGATGTCCCCATAAAAGTAAATGAACAACAAACAAAGTCAGAAAAATTAGATCATCACACGTGTGCCCTGCCAAATCACATTTAACCCGGGGTTTTTAATCGAGTTTCCAATTCTGAAGGTAAACCGTGTAAAAATAAATCCGCTTATTCTTCGAAATCGTGTTATTCGTAGTTGGCCATCTTTTGACCCACAAAGAACATTTCCAGCCGAACGGTCAGCCTCTCTGTTAACATTCCGGGTAATCCGATTCCGTGCCAATTACTTCGTACCCTCAACGACTCCTAATTGTCCCAAGAACGTTATCTACAGTGTTCACTCGAACGAACATCCTTAGCTATCATTCCCGGACCGATGATACTGCCGAGCTTTCATCGCCAGTTGCCCAGTATTTTTCCCCAGAAACGGAGCCAGTCGCCTGCTAACGAAATAGCAAAACTGATTGCCCTTCTAACGTCCTCTTCGTCGGGCTACAATCTTATTCCACTTGTACATTTCGAGACCTCCGAACAGTGAAATGTAATATGATATCTTAAGTATCTGAATTTTGGGGTATGAATTTTGGGAGAGGCAAGTTTAGGAATTTTTATAGTTTTTGAGGTGAAATTCTTACATTTTTGGGGGGATTTAGGAAATTTGATCATTTTTGAGGGTTTAGGTTTGCATAATTTTGAAGACACATTCTAATATTCTCAAATTTCTAAATTGGAAAATTTACTAGTTCCTCAATTTTATAATTAACAAATTTTTCAAAGTATAAATTCACTAGTTTCTCAATTTTATAATTTACAAATTTTTCAAAGTATGAATTCACTAATTTCCCAATTTTATAATTTACAAATTTTTCAAACTATAAATTCACAAATTGGTAACTCTTTAAATTCCTACAGCCCCAAATTTCTAACTCTGTAAATCCCTGCAGACCCAGATTTTCAACTCTCTAAATTTCTACCCCAAATAATTAATTTCTCAATCTCCTAAAGCTTCAAATTCTGCCTACCATAATTTTGACAGCTCAAAATTCTTAACTCTATAAATCCCTGCAGCCCCAAACTCATTTCTCTAAATCCCTGCAGCACCAAACTCTCATCTCTCTAAATCCCTGCAGCCCCAAACTCTCATCTCTTTAAATCCCTGCAGCCCCAAATTCAGAACTCTCTAAATCCCTGCAGCCCCAAATTCTCAACTCTCTAAATCCCTGCTCCAAATAATTAATTTCTGAATCATCTAAAATCGCAAATTCTGCCCTTCATAATTTTAACAGCCTAAAATTCTTACCTCGTTAAATCCCTGCATCCCCAAACTCTCATCTCTCTAAATCCCTGCAGTCCAAATTCTCATCTCCCTAAATCCCCACAGCCCCAAATTCTCACCTCTCTAAATCCCTATAACCTCAAATTCTCAACTCCCTAAATCCCCACCCCAAATAATTAATTTCCCAATCTCCCAAAGCCTCAAATTCTCTTCTCCAAAATTTTAACAGCCCAAAATTACCTTCTCAAATCTCCCTAACCCTAAATTTTCCGCTTCACGAGCATTCTATAAACCTTAAACTAAAACTACAAACCCTTAACTCTCCACCACTCCACATCTCAAATTTACAACATCTAAAACCCAACCCCCAGCCCCAAATTCACAATTTCGATCCCACCGCCCATACCCCGATACCTAAACAAAGACGTCCTGTAACTGACACCTCTTTCGAAAGCACTATCTGCACTCAAACTGCACCCAACTCGTATGAATGATTGCCTGCGCACACAAACAGGCATTATCACGAAGATACACGAGCGCAAAGCCAGGAACGTGTAATTTCATCGCATCCCCCTTTAACCGTCCATTGTTTATCTGTTCTTGTTCACACCATAAATAGGTGTCCGAGGTTGGCTCACTTTTACCCAACCGGTAGCACATAGGTGCCATATAGAGACCGAACAAAACGCCCCCCTGTATAGCCTTGATTTCGTTCTGAGCTTCCAAAAAAATACCCCAGGGACGCGATCGACCATTCTACACACCCCAGGTCGTATTTCATTTCACCGGGACCTTGCCACGATAGCTCTGAAAGCGACGAGTGGAATAAGATGGCTTGGAAGTCGGAAGAATCGGGGAAGAGCGATCAGTCTTGCTATTTCGATAACGGGTATTATGGTTTCTGGGGGAGTGAGAAAGGGAAGTGTATTTGGGGACTTGGGGACTTGGGAGTTGGGGAGTTTGGGTGGTTTAGGTTGAGAGTCTGAGAAGGTGGGAATAGAGAAATTTGGAGTTTGTGGAATTTGGGGATTTTGAGGAGTGGATTTGATAAGTTGGGGAGTGACAAGTGGGGGATTTGACGTGTTGGGAATTGACGAGTAGGGGATTTGACGAGTTGGGAATTAACAAGTGGGGGATTTGACGAGTTGGGAATTGACAAGTGGGGGATTTGACGAGTTGGGAATTGACGAGTAGGGGGTTTGGGAAGTTGGAAATTAACAAGTAGGGGATTTGAGAAGTTGGGAATTAACAAGTGGGGGATTTGATAAGTTGGGAATTAACAAGTGGGGAATTTGATAAGTTGGGAATTAACAAGTGGGGGTTTGACGAGTTGGGAATTGACAAGTAGGGAATTTGAGGAGTTGGGAATTGACAAGTAGGGAATTTGACGAGTTGGGAATTAACAAATGGGGGATTTGACCAGTTGGGAATTAACAAGTGGGGGATTTGACGAGTAGGGGATTTGAGAAGTTGGGAATTGACGAGTAGGGGATTTGAGAAGTTGGAAATTTACAAGCAGGGGATTTGACTAGTTGGGAATTAACAAGTGGGGGATTTGGCAAGTTGGGAACTAACAAGTGGAGATTTGACAAGTTTGGAATTAACAAGTATGGTATTTGACAAGTTGGGAATTAACAAGTATGGTATTTGACAAGTTCCAAAATCTCCAAGTGACCCAATTCATAATCCCAAATTTCTGAAACCTCAAATTCCCAAATTTCCATATTTCCCAAACTCCAAATCCCACATCCCATTACCCATCTCCACATACCAAAACCTACCTACCTAGCCTAACCTCCTTGACTTCCCACCCTTCACTACTGAATCCCTAAAATGTAACCAAAGACCATAACGATCCACGAACAAAACATCCACAAAAATTTCCCGACAGCAACAAAGTTGCACGTTGAAATTTTATCGAATCAGAAAAAGTTCGAAATGTCCAAATAATTTTATGGACGGTGATAACCGACTAGCAGCGAAAATATTACGCGTAATTAACGAACGAAACTTACGAATAGAGTGGTAGGTGTGAACACGTGTGCATCGAGAACTGCGTTAGCAGAGTATGCTGTGACACGGAGGCTGTTCGTGTGAAGCATGGAGGTCACAGGCGTGTACACGCTTGGTGGCCCTCATTAGCCCCTCACTTTCTTTCCTTCTTTGACCGTCGATCGGCTGCTAAACATATCCCGCAGGGATATGTTCTTCGCCGTCGATACGGTATTTCACCGTGACCCAGAGAATGCCGTGAACGACGTTAGGTAAATCGTGGATCTCCGCTTGTCATTCAGGCTTATAAATGATCGCACGTGTTTCAACCCTGCATTCAATGTAGCAGCTGATCGAATTATCAGTGAAAATTTATTAAAGTTGGTGTCTGGGTTTTTTGTTGCGAAATTATTATGGGCAGATTGGTTTTAGGGGAGTAGGGTTTAGGTATGTTTTTGACTTGTTTAGGAAAAGGTTGTATTATTAGGGTGTGTTGTATATGGGTACTCGAGAGAGGAGTCTTTAAGTCCCTAACTTTCTATTGCTTTAATATACGTAGTAAATTTGCTAACTTTTAATTTTGCAAATTACAAATTTTCTAAATTCGAATTTTTTAATTTTTAAATATTCCGAGTTCTAATTTTCTGACTTCCTAATTTCCCTACTTCTAATTTCCCAAAATTCAAATTTTTCAACTTCTAATTTTCTAAATTCTAAATTTTCCAACTTCCAATCTTCCAAATTCCAAATTTTCCAACTTCCAATCTTCCAAATTTTAAATTTTCCAACTTCCAATCTTCCAAATTCCAAATTTTCCAACTTCCAATCTTCCAAATTCCAAATTTCCCAACTTCTCATTTCCCAAATTCCAAATTTTCCAACTTCCAATCTTCCAAATTCCAAATTTGCCAACTTCTAATTTCCCAAATTTTAAATTTTCCAACTTCCAATCTTCCAAATTCCAAATTTCGCAACTTCTAATTTCCCAAATTCCAAATTTCCCAACTTCCAATCTTCCAAATTCCAAATTTCCCAACTTCTAATTTCCCAAATTCTAAATTTTTCAACTTCCAATCTTCCAAATTCCAAATTTTCCAACTTCCAATCTTCCAAATTCCAAATTTCCCAACTTCTAATTTCCCAAATTCCAAATTTTCCAACTTCCAATCTTCCAAATTTCAAATTTTCCAACTTCCAAATTTTCCAATTTCCAATTTTTCAAATTCCAAATTTCCTATCTTCCTAATGTAAAAATTTGTAAGTCCATACTTCTCAGGTTCTCAAAGTACATATCAAAGTTTCTAAGTCTCCAAATTTCCAGTTTTCACATATTCTAATCTCTACTAATTGTCTCAACTTACATATCCTAATTTCTACATCCCTAAATTTCTGAATCTTCAACCTACATATCATAATCTCTATATCTTCAAATTCCTAGTCCTTCAATCTTCATATCCACATTCTTAAGTCTCCACATTCCTAGAGTCTCAACCTGCATAACCAAATCTCTATGTCTCCAAATTGCTAAACCCTCAACCTTCATATCCACATTCCTAAGTCCCCAAATTGCCAGAGTTTCAACCTACACATCCAAATCTCTATATCTCCAAATTCCTAGACCCTCAACCTTCATATCCACATTCTTAAGTCTCCACATTCCTAAAGCCTCAACCTGCATAACCAAATCTCTATGTCTCCAAGTTGCTAAACCCTCAACCTTCATATCCACATTCCTAAATCCCCAAATTGCTAGAGCCTCAACCTACATATCCAAATCTCTACATCCCTTAATTCCTAGATCTCTTAATTCCTTTTCAATCTACATACCCACATTCTAAGTCCCTAAACCACCAAACCTATAAATCTTGATATTTCCAATTTTCCAAATGTCCATATCACCTAATCCCTAAGCTCGCACATTCCACTCTTCAAATTCTTACCTCAAACCTTGAAAAGCCCCTAAAAATCAACCAAACCTTCTCTGACGCACAAAGAGCGTCAGCCCTACAAAATCCATATCCGTCCTCGACCATACTTCACCGCAAATTACCCTCGACAGAAATATGACAGTCACCAAGTCCATTTACCGTCGTCACCAAGTCCATTTATCGAAAAATATCTGAACGGGTTAACAGTTCCAGAGGTGTTAAATGGGTTAGCGTATAATTCGACTCCACTGTCTGCGTTCATTGTGCGGATTACAATTAATAAACAGGAAGTCCGGGAATCCCGGAGGGTCGACACCTGAAAGGAGTAGAAAAGTCTTCGCAAAGCGAGCTAGGAAAATTGGGTCGACTCGCGAAAATTAATGACATCCGATTCAGACGACGACGACGACCTTGTCGCGAAGGATGAATGGCACGATCGACGAGAGGCCGTCTTTTCGGAAACGGGGGGTCCGTGTGAAATCTTGCGCACATTCTGGATACAAGCCAAAATTCCATCCCTCTGGTGGACACTCACGCCCATATTTCATTACATCGATTCCTTGTCACGTGTTTTGCCTACGTGATCGAGCCCCTTTTCGAAGCCTCACCCGAACCTTGGACATCGAGGGTTTTGTTTCGATCATCCACGCGTGCTTCCGATAAGCTGACGAGGCTAACCCGAAAACCGACATTAATGTTAACGCTGTGAACTTAATGCGATGATGCCGGTGACAACGTCTTGACGTAATGTTGGAGGTAGTACAATTTAGCTCGGGTCTTTGGTTGGAAACCGGCCAAACTGGCGTATATTAATTTCGCGGATACTGTTTGCTGGTAGCAGGGAAAGCTTTGCGAGTTTTCTTTTGGATAATGCAAGATGGATGTGCTGGTAGATTAGTGTTTTGATTTAAGGATGTTAGATGGGTGATTGGGAAGATGTGGGGTGCATTTGAGGGACACTTGGGAGATTTTCTGGGGAAGGAATTTTGGAATGTTCAAGTTTGGATATTAGTTGAATTTCCGAATTCACAAATTTCCAAATTCCACTATTTCTAAATTCTCAATTCTCTAGTTCCACAAATCCCCAAATCCCCAAATCCATAAATCTCCAAATTCCTAACCCTCTAATTCCACAATTCTCTAATTCCACAAATCCCCAAATCCACAAATTCCCAAATTCCACTATTTCCAAATTCCCATTTCTATAATTCCACGAATCCCCAAATCCACAAATTTCCAAATTCCCAATCCCCTAATTCCACAAACCTCCAAATCCACAAATTCCCAAATTCCATTATTTCCAAATTTCCAACTCCCTAATTCCACAAGTCCCCAAATTCCCAATCCCCAAATCCACAAATCTCCAAATTCCCAAACCCCTAATTCCAAAATTCTCTAATTCCACAAATCCCCAAATCCACCAATTCCCAAATTTCACTATTTCCGAACTCCCAATTCCCTAATTCCACAAACCCCCAAATCCACAAATTCCCAAATTCCACTATTTCCAAATTCCCAATTCTATAATTCCACGAATCCCCAAATCCACAAATTTCCAAATTCCCAATCCCCTAATTCCACAAACCTCCAAATCCACAAATTCCCAAATTCCATTATTTCCAAATTTCCAACTCCCTAATTCCACAAGTCCCCAAATTCCCAATCCCCAAATCCACAAATCTCCAAATTCCCAAACCCCTAATTCCAAAATTCTCTAATTCCACAAATCCCCAAATCCACCAATTCCCAAATTTCACTATTTCCGAACTCCCAATTCCCTAATTCCACAAACCCCCAAATCCACAAATCTCCAAATTCCACTATTTCCAAATTCCCAATTCTATAATTCCACGAATCCCCAAATCCACAAATTTCCAAATTCCCAATCCCCTAATTCCACAAACCTCCAAATCCACAAATTCCCAAATTCCATTATTTCCAAATTTCCAACTCCCTAATTCCACAAGTCCCCAAATTCCCAATCCCCAAATCCACAAATCTCCAAATTCCCAAACCCCTAATTCCAAAATTCTCTAATTCCACAAATCCCCAAATCCACCAATTCCCAAATTTCACTATTTCCAAACTCCCAATTCCCTAATTCCACAAACCCCCAAATCCACAAATCTCCAAAGTCCCATTTCCCTAATTCCACAAATCCCCAAATCTCCAAATCTCCAAATTCAACAAATCCCCAAATCCCCAAATCCCCAAATTTCCAAATTCCACAAATCCCTAAATCCATCAATTTCTAAATTCCCAAATTTGCAAATCCAAATATCTCCAAATCCACAAATTACCAAATTCCCAAAACCTCCTTAAACCCACAATTCCCCAAATTCCCAAAATTCCAAATTCTCAACTTTTCCCCAACTCACCAAAAGTTCCAAATAACCCAAACTGTAAAACTGACATTCGACACACATTTATCAACCGAACCAACAACAATCAACTACTCTACGTCTAAATATTAATTCACTTTTTCCACGCTTTCAGATGTCAATCAAAGTGGCACGATCGATAGGAAGGATTTCGACCTTGCCATACAAGTAAGCACACGTATACAACGCCATTTTCTTTATTACTCAACAGAATTCATTCCATTTCAAAGATATACAAATGAAAAATAACGACTAGAATTATCAAAGAATTTTCACAGTGAATTGTTTCGTATTAAATACGGTATTTCATAAATTTGGATAATTTTATAATGATCTCTGGTTTTTGTTATAGCGGATCAATGAAAACAGGGGATGGGCTGCTGACAACCCCAAAGCTCAAAGCATAAGGGAGAATTTGCTGAAAATGTGGGATGGTTTGAGGCAAAGAGCTGATACGGATCAAGATGGTCAGGTAAAAAATTATTAAAATTATTATGCTTGTTAAATTATTAAAATTATTATGCTTGTGAAATTATTAAAATTATTATTTCGAGAGTGGAAACTTGTGAAGTTTATGCAAATACTATGCAGGGAATTAATTAAACAGTTTGGGTTAAACTTGTTTCTCTAAATATTTGTTTTGCATATTCGTGGGTTGAATCCTTAGAACTAAATAGACGCTTTCTAATAACAAAATTATCGTAACAGAATAATTATATTTCTCTCTGTTATATTATATACAGAATTATCAAAGAAAAATATGTAAATATAGTTTCATGTATATATGTATATATAATTAATACATAATTTTTATAATTTTTTATAAATGGAATAATTTTTTACTGTGAATTTACGATTGATAAGAGAAGTTACTGTTCACTGCAGTTCAACTCGATTCATATGGTTTAATAAGCTTAATACATTTCGAATTTAATAGCTTAATAATTCTCAGTTATTTTAAGCCCAGCTCAGAATTTTACGTTTCAAAAGTTTTATATACGTGTGAAAAACTTTAATATTCGGTATAATTGGACTGATCGGAAAGTTCAGTTAATACCAGCAGAATAAAAATTTTATTCCTTCTGCATTTGTGAATAAGTACAGAGTTACGATTCTAACACTAGCCTAATATTCTCAGTAACTATAACTATTTTGCATACCTATAATTTGCCTTTGTACCTATAATTCTATAATTCAACGTAAAACATAACCTAAAAATCCGCATACTGAAATGGCAGACCAATTTTTCTTCCAACACAAAATGTCCGCCAACGTGTAAATTTCAGATTACTCGTAAAATTTGTAGAAATACAATCGTTTATACTTCAACAAACAGAACTGTTCTCAAGCACCATCACTTCTTTCGTTTCTATTCCCGAAGCCCGAAAATACGATCAAACGGTATTTTTGTTCAGGAATTTTATTTTCTGCTTATATTTTCCAGGTTAGTCGAGATGAATGGTTTTCACTGTGGGAAGAATACGCGAAAAATCCATCGAACCCATCCGAATGGCAACAAACATACATGACTTTAACGTTCCAGTTGTTCGATGCATCTGGTAAGCTTATTATCCTACCAATTTCTTGGAACAATGGAAAATTTTCGTTGTTCATATGCACTTATATTTTTATTTTTGTGGACAAAATTGGGGAAGTGTTTTGGGTAAAATATTTGAGACGATTAGGGGTTATTTGTTAGGGATTAAATTTTGGGTTTTTGTTGATAATTTAATGTGATTGATGGTGGTGAAAATATTTAACTTTCGGTTTCCAAATTTTAGGGAATTTTTGTTAATAGTTTAATACAATCAATGGCAGTGAAAATATTCACCATTGATTTCTAAATTTTGGGAATTTTTGTTAATAATTTAATATGGACAGTGGCAGTGAAAATATTCACCTTTGGTTTCTAAATTTTGAGAATTTTTGTTAATAATTTAATACAATCAATGGCATTGAAAATATTCACCCTTAGTTTTCTAAATTTGTTAAGGGTTAATGTGCAGATTTTTATTTATATAGAAATGATGACAGATGTGAAATAACAAGAATAAATGACAAAAAAGAATAAAAAAATTAAATAATAAAAAATTACTAAATTCATTAAGAAATATTTACAATTTCAAAGAACTTGTTTCTAGTAAAATTTATTTATATTTAATGGTACATTTGAAATTTATAGAAATATCAACACATTTAAATTTAAACAAATATCAACCCATTTAAATTTTAATTTTAACCCACCCCAATGGTAGATAATTTGTAAAAAATATTTTTTCTAAAAGTTTCATAATAGAACGCCTGATACCCCCATACATAGCTGTTTCAAATATAAACAACCTAATTCCTCAATTTTTATACATACGTTAAACTTCGACATACTGTGGTTACATCGAAAAATAGATAACCGGCTTAAAACTTTAAACAACATTGCATTTCTCTTCTGAAGTACACCTTTTTATTAAAATCTGTATTAAAATTATTGCTGGAATTCTCATTTAATCCCACGATCTTAATTAATTTCTTACATAACACAGTAAATTGTTTGAAATTAAAAGTAACCCTTTAACTGCGAAATAAAAACGAAACCTAAATATTGTTACTGTTTAATGTAACATTCAATTGAATGTAAATAATGAATTGACTGCAAATAATGAAAATAGCAGTAAACTGAATATCGGTGTTCAGTTTATAATTAAAATAACTAAATATTTACCAATCGCGGTTAAATTTGATTACAAAAGTCAAAGGGTTATTTTTAACAAACAAAAGTAAAAAAGTAAATGAAACAGTAAAAGAGTATCGTTGATACAGGTGACAAATCGATCGACGAGAACGAGTTCTGCAACGTGTGCAGATATCACGGGGTAGCGGAGACCGAGGCCAGGGATGCGTTCAAAAAACTAGGGGTGGTAAGCGTAAATCATAATGAAGAGAACACGGTCTCTCACGCGGCGAAGTACTAATTCCATCAAACTGTTCCTCTTCTGTAGGGTCAGGAAATAAACTGGGATAAATTCAGCAACCTCTGGAAGCAATATTTCTCCTCGGACGAGCCGACCGCAGCCGGAAACTTTATTTTCGGGAAAACTTCCTTTTAACTCGTATTATTTTTTCCCCGAGCGAACGAAATTCAGAGACGTGTTATGCACCTCCTTGCGTCGCTTCTCAGTTTTTTAATCGACAAACATTATGTTTTTGTTCGACAACGAAACGAAACGGCAAATACTATTGATTTATCGAGAATTATTTCGCACCGGAAGTCTCTTCCTAACCTCTCGGCGTTGTAAATAATCGTCCTCGTGTACGGGACGATACAGCACGACAAATAATATCGTTTGGACAAAATGGCGGCGATTATATCTCATTGTATGTTTGTATCTGTAGAGTATTTAAATGTAAGAAAACAGAGAACTATTAATGATCGTGCAAGTCTTGTTCGTCCAGTGTCGTTGTGCTTCTCGAACGGGATGGTTCGATCTTAACAAATAAATATCTCCCTCCATTATCGAGCAAACGATATTTGCAAAGTTTAAGTGTAGCTTCAATGTTTTCGTGTGACATTGGAAAGTGTTGAAAAATGGAAAATTATTAAAAAAAAAAAGAGAGAGAAGTTCGTGTTGGAAAATTAGAAGAGTACAGAGGTTTTAAATGTTGGCTTAATTATCGTGTAAGAAGCAGAAATGAAATCGTTATATTTTAAAAGCGTCAATATCGTGTATGTGTCTTGTATAGACATTGCTGTTAAGCTCATGGGGAAATGTATCGAGAGGTTTCTAGGAAATTTTCAAAATTTATTTGCAGATTGTTTAGATTACATTTGTCAGCTTTACGCTTGCAGATTTTTTATTTCCTCATGTACAGTTGCGAAAATTATTTTGAAATAAACTCTTGGATCTCTGGACTATTTTACAAATTTGTTTATGAATTACTGAACCAATGTTCTAATTGATCAAATTTTTGAATATATAGATTCAAAAATTTACAAATATCCAAATTCACGAATTCCTAAATACACAAATCCAGTTTGAAGACCTATAAATACACAGATCCCCAAATTTCAACAGCTATAAATCCCCAAAATCCCAAATTCCTAAATCCACAAATTTCCAGACATATAAATCCTCGAATCCATTAATTCCCTACTCCTTAATTCCCTAAATTCCCAAATCTCCAACTCCATAAATCCCCAACTCCCTAACTCCCCAAATTCCAATCCCCAACGCCATAAATCCCCTACTCCCTAATTCCCCAAATTTCCAAATCCCCAACTCCATAAATTCCCATTTCCATCAATCCCCAATTCCATAAATCCCCAACGCCATAAATCCCCTACTCCCTAATTCCTCAAATTTTCAAATCCCCAACTCCATAAATTCCCATCTCCATCAATCCCCAATTCCATAAATCCCCAACTCCATAAATCCCCAACTCCCTAATTCCCCAAATTCCAATCCCCCCAACTCCATAAATTCCCAACTCCCTAATTCCCCAAATTCCAATCCCCAACTCCATAAATCCCCTACTCCCTAATTCCCCAAATTTCCAAATCTCCAACTCCCTAATTTCTCTACTCCCTAATTCCCTAAATTCCCAAATTTTCAACTCAACTAAAAGCCTTCCTAAATTTCTATGAAACCAAAAATTCGATATATCTCCTCATGAGAAGAGGATACGTATATCTTACAGAAATATATAAATATGCAAACGAATATATATACTATATTTGACAGAGTTATCGATTATAAAAAGATTTTTAATCGATGTTGAAGAATTAAACAGTTGATAAATTTTGAAAAACTTACCAGATTCTTTTAAAACAAACATAGAAATATTTTAACCTTGCTTCGTTGATTTTGCTTGCCACATAACTTCGTTTATTATAACAAATTAACGATTACAATCGTTAACAAAATATCAACTATTTTGTTGATTTGAGGTTTTGGAAAAATATTTCAGAAAACTGTCTCATCGAGGTGTCGAACAATAACGTTCCATGATTTAACATAGTATGTAACTGAATGTACAACAAAATGAAAAAAATCTACATGGAAATTAAAACGAGGTCCTGTACGAACACGTCAAGATACAATGAACTATGTTAAACCTTGTTAAACTTTGTTGTTAAAATATTTTTCTTACGATATCTAAATGATTGTAGAGGTAATACTTGAGGCATTATTTTGCAAGTTTACGCAGGATGCTTTATAATTGATGGTATAAACAGATTCATAATCAAACTTTCAGTCGTTATTAAATTATATACACATCTACAGTTAATTACTGAAAATTTCAGTAATTTTTAATTACTGAAAATGACTTTTAGTCATTTTTAATTACTGAAATTTTTGAAGAATATTGCAAAATTAATTATTATATTATTTCAATAACTATGTACTTTATAATGTTTACATAAATTATTTATGGCATTACAATAATCAAATTTTGCTTATTTTCCAAAAATTGCTGTGCTATCGAAAGATTCGATTTTTCTTGAAACATCAAACGCTTAAAGCGAAGAACATTCGAATCAATGTTCGGCCATTTTGAATGAATCTTCAGCCATTTTGAATTAATGTTCGGCCATTTTGAATAAATGTTCGGCCATTTTGAATCAATGTTTTTAAGTGCGTAAGCACTAAAAACTTATTTAGATTACTGTTTTGGTTAGAAAAAAAAACAAACGATATCCCACGTGGAAAAAGATTCCTCAAGGAATCACTCTTTCCTGTTGTACCATTAATTACTATGCATATCTCGTACATATCACTACACAAGTATACAGTGAAATTGTATTTAATTATCATATCAAAAATATATTCGACAGAGGCTACAGATGAATTTATAATCACTGCACTACGAAAAAAATGATCGAACAAAAACCTTATCAAGTTACGAGAGTGGCAGCTCAATTTGTAATAACTTTCGAACACATCAATTTTACCATCGAGGGCACGGATCATTGTAAAATGTCAATCACTGCCCGAGAAAATGTTTATGGGAAGCCGAGTCAGATACAATTTTAGTGATGGTTCATAGATCTAGAAAATTATTAAAAAACCTTCTAATATCAGAAAATTAAATGAGGATGAAATAATTAAAAATTAAATTAAGTTTGAATATCATTGGAGACCCGGCTTCATGAGGGTCGAAAAGCGACTTGTACGATGATAAATTTCGACTGGAAATCGGAAAATAAACAAAAGAAATTTCGGGAACGAGGAATGTTCGATCGCGAATTTTAATTGGAGAACCGTGCCCCCAAGCGATAATTGCTGTCTCTCGAATTCGATATACGATTAATATGTTAATGGTGTTACTGACTGTTTTTGTGAAACGTGCCGATAAGCACAAGCGAAGCTATGTAAAAAATCAAATGCACGTTACTCTTGAAATAAAGTGTCTATGGACTTCAATTTTACTGTTATTTATTTCACACCTTCTATATTTCGTATAATTCGTACACTCTCATGTTCTTTGTTTTAACCAAGATGGAGGCTAACATTCAGACTAATACATAAATGTCATTCCGAATGAAGATATAAAATTTTAAAACTCACCGTCTGCAGCACGTCAGCATATTCGTTCGTTGCATCATCGTCTTCTTTTTCTCCTTGTAATCGTAACACTTTTAATCTTCCTGCACTCGTCAAAAAATGTTGACACTTGGACTACCGCGAACCGTTTACCGCCACAAATAAGGAACGATGTATCGATAAACGATTCGATTGTAGTTCGACAAGTGTCAAACTAGTAGCACCATCTTGCTAGAGGCGTACAAAGTATTGGCTGCCTGGTTCCGTTGTGCGGTGGGAAGATTTGAAAACGAGATATGCAGGAAAATTCGGTGAGTGTCAGTCTGTCACGATTAATCTATAATATTTTCTATCGAATCGTATTTTAAATATATCACCTGTATTGTTAATGCGTTACCTAACATTTTAACGTTATGTAACGGTAAAGTTCTAACCTCAAAGTTTTCCGCTACCGCTCGTTCTTTGTAATATATAGATACGTTAGATGCGAGTTTATTCTGTTCGTATCTAATCTGTAAGCGTCATCAGATAAACGAAAAACTTTATACGCCACCTTTTCGGATCGGAGCTCAGTATTAATCTTACTGTAGGAAGACTCACTATGGTTGACCCAATCACTACATGCAACATTGCATATTACTCTGAAGCCTTACAGCCCTTCTCACGTTTTTCTATTTACACGATATTATCTGTCAATGCAAGCTGCAGCTTTAGTTGTTGTTAGGGTGAATGGTATAGATAAATGTAGCGAGTGAAAAGTGTATTGCATGATTCTAACACGTTGATTGTCCACTTAAAGTTACTGCCCCTTGAGGTGATAAAAGTCGAGGCATAATGTAAGTATTATAATTAAACTTCTTTCTTATACATCATCTTTTTCATTGTCATTATCATTAATAAACAATATCAAGAATTTATATATTTGTAAACTTTATTTGAACTGCCTGCATATCACTTTCTGAGTACTGTAAATTAACATAGTGACCAACATTGTTCACATAATACTTTTCCCAGCAAATTAATACTAGTGCGTTATAAGTTTTCGTAATATTAGCTATAACAGTGTTAAAGGACATAGTTCTATAATAGATTATTGAAACTAAAAAGCTTATATCCAGGTTCATTATCATTAACAATCATTGCATTGTAAGAGTTAAGTTAACAAAAACACTAACTTCGCATTCTCAAAATACATTGCTTATAATTAACACGTTGCTTATCATTATAACTGATAGTTTCTGGCCATTTGAAGCGTATAATTTGGCAATAGGTGGTATTGCTACGTTAAATAGAATAACCTATTTACAGGTTGGATTACAGTGATGAGTTAGAATTACAAAAGGAAGCAGACGAGGTGGAACAATTTGCCATGACTTCGTTAGGAAAACTAATATTTGTAGACTTACATAGTAGGCAACCAAAGTCTTTATCTTCTGATAAACCATCTCTAGATATTATTGATTCTTTATCGCTTGCTTTCGAAAGTCTCTTTTATATGCCATTTGACATCATTGAAAATTATGGTAATACTTTGCGTACACTGGATATTAGCCATAATAAGTTTAATAGGTAGGTATATTTTGATGTACATAATTACAATCAAAGAATTTTCAGTAAGATGGGTATTCTTTCCTTCGTTACCTGTTTAGAAACTTACAGTTTTTGGCAGAGTTTGAGAATTTAACGTCTCTCAACTTAGATCACAATGAAATAGATGATCACACTGTATTCCCACATATGCCAAAACTTCAACTTCTGTGGTTAAATCATAATAATATAGAAGAACTGTATCCATTTATTAAGAATCTCTATGAGAGTGTGCCCAATCTTAGATATTTGTGTCTTATGGGTAATAAGGCAGCACCGAGTTATTTAAATGGTGGAAGTTTTTATGACTATCTTCAGTACAGGTACGAAAAAACCACCTTGAATGGTACTAAATTTATGGATAGAAATGTTCTTCTGAGATACATGTTTTTTTTTGGAAAAGGTTATACATCATATCTTGGTTTCCTCATTTGGTCCATTTGGATGACAGAATTGTAACTTCAGAACAACGTCAGGAAGCAAGGAGACTTTTCAAGCGACCATTTTTAGAAAATTTGACTGAACATGCTCCTCTTCCAGAGTGCATTAAACACCTGCACAATAAACTTACAAATATGTTTTCAAAGCCAACACTGCCATGTAAAATGAAACCAAGGGGAACAAACTTTATTGTTTAATACAGTATTAGTAATTAATGTAATTAATCTTGATGATTATCTACTTTTATCAAAGTAGGATAACATTCCTAGGAGGATATGTGTTTGTATTTTGTGTACAGTAATATTTATAAGATATACAGTTTTATTTCATTCAGAGATAAATACACAGAAACAAACACTTGGGGCAGTAACAAAATAAGTGCATTGTATATGTTATAAGATACATATATACTGAAGTTCATAACTTCAGTCTAAATATGATTATTTCTTTTGTATGTACACAATGTAAAAATTTGATGCCAAATACAGCAAATCAACAAGAAGGTATTTAATTATACAACATTTTATATTCATTAATACTACTGAATTGTAATTCAGAAAGTACTCGTTCTGCAATAATTTTATACAAATGTTGTATAATAATACCTGTTGCATTACGCTTGTATGTATTTGTTGAAAAACATTTTATATTAATTGTAAAAACAAATAAAAACTTTTAATATAAAACTGTTTACAATTATTTTTAGTGGACCTTCTTTTAATTTATTTTTTATATTCTTTTGTTTAATTAAGGTGTATAGGATGTTTTAAAAATTTTTCAATTAATTTATTATTTTTTAACCCAACTTTACTATTAATTTTTAATAGATTTATTGAAAGATCGTATTATGCAACCGATTACAAATTACGCACAGAACTTCACCATTACGTAAACTACATTTTTCCAATTATATTTTCTTGATGTAACAAAATCTAAAGCGATTACAAGCTCCAACGATAAACCTGAGCCTCGTACGTTGATCGTGCCAAGCGATTTCTTTATCTTTCAGAAATTGTTTAAACTGATTACAACTTTTTTCCTTACAGCAAAACAACAAATATGGACTATCATTCAGATTTTTACATTCATTCAAAGAGTGAAATCAGAATTGCTAAATACAAAAGAGTACCTTGTACTTATTTATTTGTTCGTTTTATCATTAGGTATTAAATACATTCGACGACAAAGCGTCTGGTATTTCAGATAGAAATCTACAAGGTTCGTTTCATCATTTAACGTAATTCCGTGATAAAACAAAAGTGTAGTATCATCGAGAATGCCAGGTGGTACATCTCGAAGGAAATAATACATTTCTCGAACGTTTTTATCGTGGATTTTTCGGTGGAAGATAAACTATTCTGTTTATTTCTGTGGTGAAGTATTTTTCGAATTTTGGAGGTCTCGGTTTTAGAATTAACGGAATTTAGAATGTTGTCATTTTCAGGTTCCTAAATTACCAAATTTGTACATTTCCAAATTCCAAAATTCCAAGTTCCGAAATTCCGAATTCCAAATTTTCCAAATTCCAAGTCTTCCAAATTCCAAGTCTTCCAAATTCCAAAGCTTGCAAATTCCAAGTCTTCCAAATTCCAAATCTTCCAAATTCCAAATCTTCCAAATTCCAAATTTTCCAAATTCCAAATTTTCCAAATTCCAAATTTTCCAAATTCTAAATCTTCCAAATTCCAAGTTTTCCAAATTCCAAATCTTCCAAATTCCAAATCTCCCAAATCCCAAATCACCCAAATTCTATATCATCCAAATTCCAAATCTCCCAAATTCCAAATCACCCAAATTCCAAATCACCTAAATTCCAAATCCCAAATCACCCAAATTCCAAATCTTCCAAATTCCAAAGCTTGCAAATCCCAAAGCTTGCAAATCTCAAAGCTTCCAAATTCCAAAGCTTGCAAATCCCAAATATTCCAAGTCCCAAAGCGTCCAAATTCTAAAGCTTGCAAATTCCAAATCTCCCAAATTCCAAATCTCCCAAATTCCAAATCCCCCAATCCCTAAATTTCCAAACCAACAAGATAAAGGTATAGCAACAAAATCTGTTAATTTCATTTGTGTGCGAATATTTAGTGCATTTGGTTCTAGAATTTTTAATCGTGGACCCTTGTAAAGTCGATTCGATATTCCTTCCTCTTAATAGGGAACGTTGTTCAGACAGTCGTAAACACGTGTAGATAACAAAAGTTTATTGAACGTGTGGGATAAGTCGTAAATTACGTTTTACGCCGGAATGTTTTGCAAATAAACGGTTACTTGATAACCCGTTCAATAAACCGTGCACTACTGTCCCGTTACAAATTAAAACACTTTCTACTATAATAAATTATTGCTGCCTCATTTTATCATTTTTTGTTAATTTACTATGTCACTTTTTCTTAACATAACAATTGTTAACATGACAGTAATTAACTACTATTGCATTTATTTCATTCTATCATTACTCTTAACACACATTAAAAAATGATTACATAATATTAAAAATGAAATTTTTTCAATAGAGTATCTAGAAGTACTTCTAATAATTTTTTTACGTCATACCAGTGTTAAAAAAATTGTATTAATAGTATCAATAGGAGTGTGAAATATTTAAGTGTGTCAAGACTTTAATGCTGTTATAAATTTAATCTTTTATCAGTCGATATCGATGTTTGTACAATCGTTTCAATTATTACGATTGTAAGCAGTTAATATTACACTGTGTCTCTAATTCATAATGATTGTTAAGAAATGTACACATGCAAGGGAAAAAGAAACACATGTACTAAAGAAATAAAAGGTTACAAAAAATAATACATTTTATTAATTATTCACGAAACAGTTTTTACAACAATCTTATGTCGACTATTAGCTTAATCAATAATACTTACTGTATGAACCTAATTGTATTAAACTAACACATATTTGGTAATACGATAACAAATTTTCGGGCAAAACAATCGATTACATTTTACTTCTTGAAATCATATATACTTCGATGTTTCTCCAATTCCGGCGCAAAGTCTTTCCACAGCGAGAGATCCACCGATGGAATGTTTTGGCAATTTACGATGGGATTACTGAAATTAATGAGACACTTAATCGGATGAAACGATTATTAAATTATGACGTCTATAGGAAAGAGGAAGCTTACGATGAAGATACTTGTTCGAACCCTCTCGGCTGCATTTCTGTGATGTGATCCCCGTTATCGCAGAATAACCTGGATATGCTCGCTTTTCGAATCTCGTTTAATTGCTCTGCGAAATACGCGGTTAAATGTACAGAAAACAATTTCGTTGCAAATTACATTGTTCAACAGGTTTCGACGAAACCCCATTTTGTGTTAATTAAAGTTTGCTCAACCGAACACGGCTTCTGATTTTTACCTACACGTTAACAATTAACGTGTGCAATTATTATTGTACACGTTTTACGTTGTTACACATTTTTAGGTAGTTAAGTTACTTTATATTCAGTTAGACTGTATTTTTACATATTTATGTGCATATTCATGTGTTTATAGATATATGCTCGTATAAGTGTATTTATAAATATGTGTTCATGTGTATGTATTCATAAATATGTATTCGTATGCATGTATTCACACATATGTATTCCTATAGATGTATTCACACATGTGTTCCTATACATGTATCCATACATATGTGTTTCCATACATGTATTCGCACATACATGTTCCTATAAATGCATTCACAAATACATATTCATATGCAATGTATTCTCACATATGTGTTCCTATACATGGATTCACACATATGTGTTCCTATACATATATTCACACATATGTGTTCCTATACATGTATTCACACATATGTGTTTCCATACATGTATTCACACATACATGTTTCTATACATGCATTCACAAATACATATTCATATGCATGTATGCACACATATGTATTCCTATACATGTATTCACACATATGTGTTCCTATACATGTATTCACACATATGTGTTCCTATACATGTATTCACACATATGTGTTCCTATACATGTATTCACACATATGTGTTCCTATACATGACATATGTGTTCCTATGTTCCTATACATGTATTCACACATACGTGTTCCTATACATGTATTCACACATACGTGTTCCTATACATGTATTCACACATACGTGTTCCTAAGCATGTATTCACACATACATGTTCCTATACATGTATTCACACATATGTGTTCCTATACATGTGTTCACACATACGTGTTCCTATACATGTATTCACACATACGTGTTCCTATACATGTATTCACACATATGTGTTCCTATAGATGTATTCACACATATACAGGGTGTTCGGCTACTGGTGGGCATAATTTCAGGGGGTGGTAGCTGGGGTGATTCTGAACAACTTTTTCCTTTACCAAAATGCTGGTTAAAGCTTAGTTTTTGAATTATTAATGAAAAACACTGACCAATCAGAGCGCGAGAATAGCGCGCGCTCAGATGCGAGAGCGACGGATGCAAGCGTGACGGTTGACCCTGGTCGTGAACAAACAAATCGCGCGATATCGGTAACATAGTTACCATCATCGGTAATA